CCTCCCCCTCCCGCCCCTGCCGCCCCCGTGGCCCTCACTGGCCAGGCGGGGCTCCGGAGTGGAGTAGGAGTAGCATCCCCACGGAGCACCCATATACCCATCTACCAAAGTTGCCGCCGGGGAGGTGGTGGGCCCCTCCCCCCGCACGCGATGGCCAACGACGCACGCGGCGCTGAACGGCATGGGGTGGCCTGGTGCGGCGGAGCCGACCCAGGGATGGTAGTATGCATGGAAAAGATACATAATTTATGAACGCAGTGCCGGGAAATTTCCCCACTGCGCCAGGCGAAGCTTAGCAACGCGCGCGAGAGAGCCTTCCTTAAAGTACACGCCATCGAGTCCAGGAGCAGCAGTGGGGGTGCTCTGGGCCCAATTAGCCCTCTCCCTCCCCCTGCCGCCGCCCGCCCCGCACCTCCGCTCTCCGAATATTGGAAGGCAATACCCGATCGGGTGGGTCTCGCAGCGAGTAGCTGGCGCCACGCTGCACTACGAGCACCCTAGCCCAGAGATTGAGGTTGTGGCTCTGCAGCCCGAATCATCATCTTCTCCTTTGTTTGCAAAGAAGCCCCCTTGTTGTTCAAACACCCGTCTCTCTGCCCCGCCTCCCACCCTCCACCCCGCCGCGGCTCGTGTATAGACACGTTGGAGTCCCCGCTAAGTGCGACTTGCCCACCCATCGCGCCGCGCCAGCGCCTCCCGTCCTGTCCTGCCTGGGGCCCGAGGGGCCCTGTAACCCTCGGGCAACGGAAAATGTCATATCGACGCTCGCCAAACTCCCCTCGACTAGTAGCATGTTAGCCGCCCACCGCCCACCCCGACCGCTCCTCCCCGCCCCGCCCCGGCCCGGCCGCGAGTCCCTGCAGCTACAGCCAGAGCTACAGCCGGAGCCGAAACGGCCCCAAGTTTGTCCCGCTGCGACGACAACATCTGCGAGCCCGGCTTGGCTCGGCTCGGCGCACGAGATCGGCTCGGCTCGAGCCCCGCTCGGCTCGGCTTAAGCTCGGCTCGGCTCGGCTCGATTCGACTCCGACTCTGCTCCTCACAACACGCTGTGCGGTCGTCACCGCCGCATTCAAAATTGCGGGAGTCGGGGCTGTAGGGGGCGACCGCTATCGGATGTACGGATGCGCAGTTGCGCACTCACCTTTCCTGTTGGGACAAGTTTAGATCTTGCTACCATGTCTTCGCAGATATGGATAGGCGAACGTACGCCCGTCATTTCAAAACTGTCAAGTTGAGCTGATGCATCTCCAAGCTCTCCAAAGCGCCTGTTAGGTAGGCAACATCTGGTCTGCAGCGCACGCGTGTACTGCGGGGTGGCCTACCCCCAGTCTCGCAGGCGCCGAGCTACCGTAATTTGCCGTTATCCCCCCGGCCCTGGTAAGCTAGAAGAACCGCCACTAAAATCATAGCCCAGTAAGAACACCATCCAAATCACCCCATGTACCTCCTCATC